TGCCACCTGATGAGGAAAAAAATGAGCTGGGATTTTTGGGGTTTCTTTGTGAGCTTGCCCCACATGCTGTTACCAGATGTATGTGCGTGCAAATGAAGTACTCATCTATTGACATGGCTTGTAGTCGGTAGGCAAAGTAGTGTGAGTCTTGTGCTATGTCCCGTTGGAAGGGGCTACAAGAGAGAAAGCAAGACCGGGAGAGCTGGCGTGATGTTGGGCAAAGCCTGCTGAGAAGCCGATATGTTTGTGACTGTGCCCAGCTAAGATCTTGCCCTTAAATAGCACTTCATATTCAAAGTGGTCACTGAAGAAATGACGGGCATGCAAGCTTCACCTCTCTATCGAAACGATGTTCTCTAAGGCACCGCTGCTTGACCCTTCAGAACACCACCTGGTGTATCAGGAGGGGAAGTGAAGAACGCTTACTTTTTGCTTAAACTTCCAAAGCGACTGAGCTCTGGAAGAATAACCAGTAGCTCTTTGCCTGTCATCCGGTCCCTGGGAATAGGCCTTCTCCCAAGAGCAGCTCCAAAGTCCGTGGTGATGACTCTAGTTTGGGCTGTAGGTGTTAATTACAGCCAAGACCGAGTCCCTAAAATAGTGCAGTGCCCTAACGCGGTGCCACACCTGCGGGTGCGGGGGATGTGCTTTAGCGAGGAGATGCTTTACCTTGGCAAGCCTGGACTTCCCATGAGCAGACCCCCGTGTGTCCTGCGGTGGAGCTGGTGCAAATGCCGCCTCCTCCACCCCAGCAATGGTTCCCCACACAGGCCAAAGATCTTGGCGGCTTCTGGGGCACTTTTCATCCAGCTCCACATCTGGGCACGATGCAGCTGTGGCTTTTGTTTTGTGTCCTGCTCTTGGCTGGCACCTTTTGAGCAGCTGATGATGATCCCTCTTAAAGTTAGGGCTATAATAGAAGCATAAAAGCTAAAAAGTCGGAACACCTGAGCTTGGTTGTTGGGGGGAAATGATTAAAGTGCTTGTGGGCTCATTGTTTCTACGTGTGTGACGGGTGAAAGCCGCTGGTGAGTGTGTAAGTGAGTCTGGGCTTCCGCTGCACAAGCAGGACAGGACAACTGGAAGAGGTTTATTGTTCCAACAGTTTGTTATCAACTCTTGTAAACTGTTTCTTAGCAAGTCTATGAACAGCATTCCTAACAAACAGAGCTTAAGAGACCATTGAGTGGCTACCAGCTGCCTGCCCTTCTCTAGGACGTGTGGTGCTGGGGTCCAAGGGCATCGTCTGCATCTGCAGGGCTGGGGCCGCAGGTGCAGGTGCAGCAGTGGGGTGGCGTTGGCCTCTGCAGAACTACCAGCACAGGTATTGCAAAGCGTGGTGGAGCATCACCAGCATGCTGGTGGCCATCTGGGCTTTGGCTGCTAGGCCGTGGCAGAAGGAGGGTGGCAGCGGTGAACGTCTTGCTGCCTGATGCTCCGTCAGGCTCTGGAGTTGTGGGAGCAGCCGGTGGTGGAGAAGGGTGGGTGCTGTCGAGGCCGGGAGGTGATTCAGCCCGTCATCGCTTGGTGGGCGTGGTGGTCGTGGGTGGAGATGCCTGCCTGTCCCCCGCAGGCTGACCATCCGGGCTCCTGGAGGGTTGGCTGTCAAGCCCTTCTGGTGTATCTGGGGCTTCCCGTTTGATGCCAACTTTCCTCTTGCACCTTTCAAGCAGGTGGGGATGGTCTCTGTTAAAAATGGGGTTGTAGTAGTAGAGAACCTAAAAAAAACCCCAAAAGCAGAGGGGAAGGGTTAGTTGAGACCATTTCAAGACTGGAAAAGCCCAAGCTACAAGAACTAAGACTTTGAGGTTCAAAAGAGGAGCATGGGTACCAAAAGGGACTCTGAGGAGTGTTTGAAACCTAAAGCTTAGGCTAAAACGTTACGCGACGGTTCTGTTCAGTCGTTGCCTCCCCGGGTTTTTGCCCTCGGGGAGCAGAGCAGTGTAGGATTTTCAAAAGCATAAGAAGTATTATCAAAAGCCAAATACTACTGTTTTTCAGCACCTTCACTGTGGCTATGAGCAGCCAAGTAATACTACGTCCTTACATGTGTCTTCTCAGCATTCAGCAGGTGCCGCAGGCAGGTTTCAGATTTGGTACGGCAAGACTCGTGGCAAAGACGTGAAAATAAATCGGGTTACACTGAGTCCGTCTTTCTGCTTAACGGGTTCAAACTAATCAGACAGAACCCAGCTGTATTTTATCTGCATTTCTGCTGGTCAGAAAGGCAGGGTCAAACCTTCCTGAAAATGACCCGAGAAGGAAATGAAAACCAGAGCACTCGCTACCCTCCCATCTCCTCTATCGCAAGGCCTGATTTGACGTGAAGGTCCCTCTCTCCCCCAAGTCTGTCGTGAGCGCTAGCTGATGTGCAGGGCAACTGCTGTACCTTGGCATGAGCGGAAGCTGCTGCTGCTTCTGCCAGGAATTCAGGCAGGGAGGCAGATCTTTGTGCATCCCGACGGATTTTGGTGAAGCCATAGAGGTTCAGCTGCCGAAGGAAACTTTTCATCTTCCGCGTGGCAAAAACCCGCAGAGGTCCTCTCCTGCTCAGCACCTCGTTTTCAAAGAGCTTTTGGTAGATGGCCACACATTTTCCTCCCTCGCTCCACCAGGTGGACTGAAACTGCTGGCTTTCCAGCATTTTCCAAAGCTTCTGCGGAAAGCTGAGGGTGAAGAGTTCTCTGGCCTCAAACACACTCTGGGTGGCAAGAGGTGGGACTTGTCCAGCTTGGACATCCTGCTTCTTCCTTGTCACTTGTCTGGCAGCGTGACAGGGAGGGCCAGGAGAAGTCATGTCTGCCAATGGCCCCAGCTTGTCCTGGGCAGAAAGCAATGGTGTTTCTGTGGGCGACTGCTCCCGCTGCGTTTCTTTTGTCTCGGCTGGACTGATGTTTCCCTTGCCGGCTCTTGCCCCAGACAGCCGGGCCTTGTCCTGCCAGTCTGCAAGCAAAGGCGAACTGGCACTGGCTGACTGTGGGTGTCAGTGGGATATTCTGGCAGGTTCTTGTGGTGCCCGTGGTGCGTAGTGGTGACATCACAGCGTCATGTCACAGTGAGAATGGTAGAATCACAGAATGGCTTGGGTTGGAAGGGAGAAATTGCTGAAAAGTACTTGTTGCTTTTCACTCGCAGAGACACCGGTGGTGGGACTCCAGAGCCCAGGAGTCACTATAAGCCGTTTTGAACAGCTGTAGGCAATGAGAGGACCGTGCTGTGTCCCGTTGCATCCAGGAGTGGGTCCGCAGGAAGGCATGAGGATGGCTGCAGCGTTGGGCACCCCAGTGCCCTGTTGAGGAATTTTTTCTGCTAGGTACCTCTGACACGTGCAGAAATGTCCTTAGACACTTTCTTGTCATTTCTCTGAGATGGGGTCTGCAAGAAAACATGATCCAAGACATTTTAAGTACCTAATTTGTGCAGCGTTGCAAATGCAGAGAGCAGCTGAAGTACCTCAGCCTTCTCTCTGCCAAGCAGATCCCTTAAGAGGTCAAAATCTGCTTTCCTGAAGTCCAGGGTAGTGAGCTTGCTGTGCCCCCTCCTCGCTGTCCTAAGGATCTTGAACTCTACCATTTCATGGTCACTTCAGCCAAGGCTGCCCCTGAGCTTCACATTCCCCACCAGCCCCTCCCTGTTGTTGAGAACAAGGTCCAGCACAGCACCTCTCTTCGTTGGCTCCTCTGTCACTTGGAGAATTATCAGCACATTCCAGGAACCTCCTGGATTGCTTATGCCCTGCTCTCTTGTCCCTGTCAACAGATATCGGGGTGGTTGAAGTCCCCTATGAAGACCAGGGCCTGTGAACGTGAGGCTGCTCCTAACTGTCTATAGAGGGCCACATCCACTCAGTCTTCCTTCCAGGTCGGATGGTCTGTAGCAGACCTCCACTATAATGTCACCTGTTCCTGACCTCCCTTTGGTCCTGACCCAACTCATCCACCCCTGGGCAGAGCTCCATGCACTCCAGCTGGTCGTTGACATAGAGGGCAACACCCCCTCCTCGTCTCTGCCTGTCCTCCCTAAAGAGCCTGTATCCTTCTGTTCTGACACATAGGAGCTATTGTACCACATCTCTCTGGTGCCAATAAGATCACAACCCTGCAGGCATGTGCACATCTCTAACTCCCCTTGTTTATTCCCCATGCTGTGTGCCTTTGCATAGGGACATCTCAGTTGGGCCCCAGTGAAACTGGAGTGGCTGGAATTCCTTTGTGCTGCTCTGCAGGTGCTCTCTTGCTGACCTCTGATGCCTCTCCAGGCTCTGGGCACCTGTTGCTGGCACTGGCATCAAACTGGTAGGAGTGGGACAGATTGAGGTTCCCCTCCCTCACACAGATTGTGTTGTGCTTGGGATCTTGCCCTCCTTCACATCCCCCTGCACATTGCAGGGATGTGTGTGAAAACAAAGAGCCCCTTTGCCTGGGTTGATGCACATGCTGGTTGTTTCGCCTCCGATCCCAGTGCTGCAGTGCCAAACTTCTGCTGACGGCTTAAGTTTTGCAGAGCCTTTAGGCGAGTGAGAAATGGTTTTATCCCTGTGTCTACCCCATGTTTGTCTTTCTGTGTCCCACAGAAAAAAGCAGGTACCCTGTGCTTCACAGCAGAGTTGCTCTGGCAGCAGTGTCCACTGGGCTGCCATGTCTGCTCACCTTCCACCCCACCCAGGGCCAAGAAGATAGGACTGAGCTGTTACCTGCTGCAGCAAAATGTTGCTAATATTACACACCAGCCATGTACAGATTCAGGCATAGCGCTTGCTCACATTCTCCTTTTTGCTTTATTCCAGTGTCATTGTTAAAAAAATTGACCCAGGAACTTGTGCCTCTGCTCTGTTCTCGGGAAAGGATCAGCTTTGGGCATCCAGGTTCCCCAGTAATGCCCGGCTTGCGGTAGTACCGTTCCTCAAGGGACAGCCCAGGCACTTGGCCAGGCAGTGCCTCTGTTCTTCCACATTTACTGAACTTCCTCTTGCTGCTGAGCAAAGCTCTTCTCCTTGTTCCTGTCTGGCTGAATACAGCTGCTGGCAGCCAGCAGTCCCCTTCCACTAGGCAGTCTCTGTGGTCCAGTGCCATTCCGTCGGCGTTGCAGGCTCTCTCCCCTGTCCCTGCAGTGGCTCCGAGTCCATCAGACTCCCCTCTGCCTTTTGCTTTGCTCATGAGCTTCTCCCTGGCCTCTGTTCAGGAAACCGCTGGGGCCTCCTTTCTCCTTTGCTGCTACTCCCTGCAGTGGAGGGGACGCAGCTTTGAAGCGGTGAGGGGAGGCTGCTGAGCAGCAGAGGGTAACCTCTCACGTGTGTCAGGCCTGGGCTCTCCCCTCTTCCCTGCCTGTGCTGACTCTGCCCTGCTCTGTTCTCCACAGGGCACTCTGCAGAAGTTTGTGGATGACTTGTTCCAGGTGATCCTCAGTACCAACCGCCCTGTTCCTCTGGCAGTTAAGTACTTCTTTGACCTGCTGGATGAGCAGGCAATGCACTACGGGATCGCAGACCCCGAGACCATCCACATCTGGAAGACAAACAGGTATGGTGTTCCTGTGGGCCCCGGAGGAGGCACTGCGAAGCTGTCAAGAGCTGATCACCTGCAAAGTGACAGCTGCCTTTGCCTGCTGAGGAGGAGCAAACTGGGAGTGCAAGGAAGCAGAGCATGGTGTGAAAAGGTGGTTTTGCTGGGCAGGCAAAGCTGGGAGATGCAGTAAGGGACAGAAGATCTTTCAGCGCCGTGGCTGCTTCCTTTGCTGATGCCCGGTTGCGCTTCTGTCTTCTCCTCAGCCTGCCCCTGCGGTTCTGGATCAACATCATCAAGAATCCCCAGTTTGTTTTTGATGTGCAGACGTCCGATAACGTAGATGCTGTGCTGCTGGTCATCGCGCAGACCTTCATGGACTCCTGTACCATAGCTGACCATAAGTTAGGGCGGGTAAGTACAGAGGGAGAAGGGAGCGTGGTCGGCACAAATAGTTGAGCAGCGCTGCCCCAGGAAGACAATGATGTTTATGTAGCACCACTGGGACAGCAGGCCAGGCCCATCCTTGCTCCCATGTGCCACGGGAGAGTGATGAGGACTACTGGGAAGAGATGGGGGAGGATCTGATTATTTTTTTTTAGCATACAGAAGAAGTTGTGAGGGGTGCTCTCTGTTTACAGTTTACAGCTACTTGGGAGACAGAGCTAATCTGTAGTTGGCTGTGGCAGACAGTGGAGGTCACAGGACACATCCTGGAGATTCAGGTTGGCCATTAGAAAAACTTTTTACCACCGCTACTCGCCGTGTGCTGAGGGTGGAACAGTCCTGCACAGTCACCAGAGATGGGATGAGCAGATCTCTGGAGGATTTCAGGAATCAGCTATGCAAACCCATAGCCAATGTGATCTCATACTGGTGATCACCCAGCTCCAAGTGGAAGGCTGGCCTACAGGGATTCCAGAGGTCCCTTCACCAATATGTCTCATGGTTCCTCAGAGTGCATTACTGGAAGGGAGCTT